GGCGGCATCCTCGCGCGGTCTGTTTCACCGGCCGAGTCCCCGACGCCACACAAAGGCCGGCGGGGCGCGGCGGGACAGACATGCCCTGCCCCCACGGGTCGGCAGGTCACTTCACGACCGCGAGGGATGTGTGCCACGTACTCCGCTACGCGCTACGTACCCCGGGCAGGGCCGAGGCTGCCGGCTCTTCGCAGGCTCGCGGTACGGGGCCGAGACGAGCTACTAACTACACCGGAATGTGAGTGAGTGAGGAAAAGAGACAGAGAGTCAGGACGAATGCGGTTAGTTAGGGACCTTTTATACACATTTGCTTCTGCATCCCCCTTTTCGCACCCCTAGCATGTATTATTTCAAACTTCTGTGCGATTCGCTTTAAGACTTTCTCTGAAAAAAATCTCCCGTCCTTGGTCACACTGGTCGCAGCCACGCCCACCCGCTGGTGGGGTGGGCAGCGGGTCAGGAGGAGGAGCAGGCACGAAGATTCATAGCGCACCGTGTAGCGCCCGGCCTCGCCTCGCCCGGAAAGAATGTCGATTTGCGTCCCCGCGACGGCAATCTTTAGCCCGCCCCTTCGCCCTCCCCGCCGCGGGGAAATTGGTGCTTGGGGGTAGGGGGAGAGGGGCAGCGCCGTGCCACACCCTGCTGGCCGGACGGCCGTGGGGGCACGAGCAGGGCGGGGAGGAGGTCCCATCCCAGACCCTTCTCAGGATTTACAGCGTTCCGACCGGCTGGGACAAACGGGCCTAAAGGGGTCACCCCTCCGGGTCAGCCTCCTCCCCCGCGGGCCCCGCAGGCCGCGCGCGCCGCCCGCTCCCGCCGCGGCCACCTTGATCCCCACCCCCCGCAACGCGCGCGGCAAAACAAAAGGATGGGGCGGCGGGACGGGGTGGCTACGCCCCACGGACCAGCGGGCGGAGGAGCGGCTCGGCGGCGCCAGAATGTTGCCAACTCAGCAGTGCGCATTCCTGGCCGGTGTCAGGCCACCAGCGGCCGGCCCGGCAGCCCCCCCGCCCAGGACCGCCACCCATCACGGACAATGTCCTCAGTAATCACCTTTGTGGTGGGTCCAAGCAGCGCGCTGCCGCCGCTCTCTGGCCCGCTTTCCTGGTTGCTGCTGGGGGTGGTGGCGGAAGACCCTCTTCGCGAGGGAGGTGTCGGGAGGCTCCCCCCGCTCCCCCACGAGCACGCACGCACGCACGAGCGCACGCGTCCCGTATCAATATTCATACCGCACGCGACGTTAAGGTGAAGTTGTTTGCCGAGTGCCGGCGGCGCTGCTGTCAGGAAGCAGGGGGGAGGGGGGGGATGTGTGGCGTGGAGCGCTGTGGGGCACAGTAGCGGAGAAGAGAGGGGGGGCCTGCATGGATTTTGTACCGGCGCGCGGGCGCTTGCGCGCGCGCCTCGCTTTTGTTTTGTCATCGGATTATGGACGAGCACGACGGGTTTGTGAGTGAGGGGGGGTAGTGGGGTGGGGGAGGTGTTTGTAGACAAAAAGG